TATAAAACAAGATAATAATTCTCATAATTTTATGAAAATAACATATCAAGATTAATAGAAGAAGAAATCTTATACCATAGACTTGAAGATATAGACAAATTTATATGACTTGATACTAATGAAAAATAGATAAAAAATAAAATCATACTCCAAAAAAATAAATTGCTATGGTAAATTATTATAACTTAGTTTGATTATTATAATAAGATAAGAATAAAAAAATTTTATAGGTAAAGATATTTAATAAAGGGGACTTTTTTATCTCTATAAACTAGATAATATAAAAATTTTTAATAAAAATATTATAAAAATAATATATTCTTCATGTTTTATATATACTATAAACAAAATGAATATTCAAGAATTAGAAACTTCAGAAAAAGTACTTAACTTATTGACTGATCAGATAATAAATCTGAATAAATTAATATTCTATAAATTAATCTGTAATAGATATAGATATATTAGTAATTTATCAAATTACTCAAAAATATCTGAATATATTAATTATAGTTATTTTGATTATATAATCTTCTTATTTAATATATAGAAGCTAGCAGTAATACCACTACTTAAAATATTACAAAATAAACTGAATATATATTACAAATATCTTATAACTATTAAATCATGTCAGAATTTATTTGAATAGATATATTAAATAATAAAAAATGAATTATAAATCTTAATATAATCTGAATCTCTATTTTCAGAGTTATATTTTTTTTATTATAATCTATATATTAGTTAAATTCAAATTAGTATATCAATTATCCTGTACATCAATATATATTCTTTTTTTCTGAGCATAAGAGAAAAAAATATAATTAATTTCAATTTAAAAAATATATTCATAATTATAGTTCACATAATTATATCATAATAATAATATTGAAAGTAGTTATAAATTTCATAAATTAGTATAACTTAACTTTTCAGATAAGTATAGCTGAGCTTAGTAATTATACTGAAAAAATATATAAAGATTTAAAAGATTATAAAACTTGTGATTATGCTTAAAATAGAATCTAGAAGTTAGAATTTAATAAATATCAGATATATACTTTAATTTCTATTTAGACTTTTGAAAGATATATTATAGGATAAGATTCAGTTAAAAAGCTCACTTAATATATTAATAGAATAAAGATAATCTTGAAGCTGAAGAGATATATAAAGTAATATACTTAGTTAAAATAGCCAGTACTGTAATAACTTAATCTTTATATCTTAAATTACTCTAAAAAGAATTATACAAGCTTAATGCTAATTATATTACATTAAAAGCTATATATATCCTGAATATTACTTAAAAATCAAATAAAAAATAAATAATAAATCAAGAGCTCTGTAAAGATGAGAAATTTAATTATTCTAAATTCTTTTACTTGAAAAATATCTAGAAAAGACTTAAGAATTATAATAATATTAATTCTTTCATAATATAAAATTTAATTGATATAATAATAATATTATATATGAGACTTGCAGATGTGAAAAATCTCTGTATTAAATATTATAAAGCAGATAGTGCTAAATAGTATAATTTTAAATATTCTTGATATTGTACTAGATATACCAAAAATAAAAAAGATGAATCTATATCATTAGTATCTATAGAAAAAGATCTGCTACTGGCTAGAGAATTACTTATTTGGATTCAGAAAGTAATTTCTAACAAATTTTTATTTTTAATAAGAGATAAAGATAATGATATAAATATTTATTTAATTAATAATTTTCTAGTAATTTATGAAATAAGCTCATTATATTTGAGAAAAATTAGTTCTAAATATGTTATTATAATTCATAAAGATAAGAATGATATTTATTATAAATATTTCTATCAATTAACATTAAGATACAAGATAATTAATATCACATCAGATTATTATAATATGATAAATAATAGACCAGTTATTCTAATAACTAAAAAGAGTAAAGCTCATATCTGTAAAGATACTTTTAAAAGCTATTTCATAATAAAAAATACTAAAATATCAGATATTATAGATCTATACAATTACTAATTATGCTTTTTCATCTTTATCATATTCATAATAAAATCTTTATCATTATTGCTAGAGATAGTTATTTCATAATTAGACAATTCAGAATTAGATCCAGACTCAGATGAAGATGATGATTTGGATGAGAATGAAGATATTATATCATTTAAAAATTTCTTTTTTCTTTTAGTCTTGCATAGTATATGATTTCTTTGAGAAATATCAGATTTTACTATTAAATTTATAATATCTTGCCAAATTTCAAGTTTTACTATCTTCAGTAATTAATAAAGAGAAATCTAAATTTTTTTATTTAATACTTACTTAATAATATCAGATATCACTTTATCAGTAATATTAGGTAAATTTTTATTTTTTTTAAAATCTAATTTTTTTGCAATCTCATAAGTAATAATTAGATATTCTGAATTCAAATTAATTACACTCTGTTACTTTAATATTACTTCAAATTTTTTACAGACACTTTATATTATCTTAAAATTATTAGCTTTAGTTATTATAATAGTTAAGTTATTTTATAAATATAAATTTAAAAATGCAGAATTAAATATATTGTTATAATAAAATATCATGATAAGAATTTTATCTTGTGATATATAGTAGATAAAAAATAAATATAACAATTAAAATAAAAATCTTTAATAAATCTACATATTTGAAAATACATAATATACATATATATAATCCACTTACACTTTCAGATACTATTGCTAAAATCATTTCAAAACTTCCATTAGAGGATCTAGATAATTGTATTCAAGTTAATCGCACATGATATAAAGAAATTTGTCATGAGCTTTATAAGAGATGTAAAAACTTTAATACAAAATATTATAATTTATTGAAGAAACTATATAGATATTATAGAAAATTGTATATAAATGATAATGAAATTGAGCCTATATATAATAATGCATTAATAATATTTGATGAGCTCGTAAAAGTAGAAAGGTATTTATTAAATAAAAATATAATCTTGAGTAAAAGAATTAGAAATGCAATATTGATCAATATTAAAGAAGATAATTATGGAAACGCATTAGATTCATATAATTTTGGAGAAGATACATTCGAATATATAAAATATCTCTTCCACGTATATTAGAAAAAATATAAATAGATATTTAACAAATTTTATTTATTTAATGTAAAGAGAAGAAAGCCAATCTACCCATCTGCCATATATTTTTTTTCGGTTGACTATTTGATCAAGTTTACATGCTTCGATTACGGATAATAGAAACGTATTACGTAGGCTCGAAGAGCCATTGCTCCGTAATAAAAATCTGTTAGTCCAGATCGTGATCACAAAATTACATCATGTCACGTTATAATGGACCCTAGGGAGCGATGTCATGTGTTTTAAATCCGCGAATCAGAGATCAGCATAGAAGTTCATGGAATAATCAACAAAAGCCCGTGATCTCATATATTTATACGAAAATATTTATTTAACAAGTGATTATCTGATATATTTACATTTTAAAACCGCCAATTATTTTTGCTATATAAGTATAGAATTAAACCCCATCGGGTAGTGGATTCTCTGCTTTCAATCCACGTCTGGCACGCGATAAATCTGTAAAGAAGTAGCGATTTTTAACAATGTATGTAACACAATGAAAAGATTAACACAAACGTACTAGCTCATGTTAAATAATTACTTACCTATGTTTCCCCGCCTCTTATCACAAGATCTTTCTGGTATCGTGATTTGACTTTTTTTTTGGTTGGGAGAGTGTAATTCGGTTATTCAGATCTCGTGCATCATTGAGATCTTGCCGAGAAATCATAGGAATAACCGTCCCACGTGCATCTCTTTCAATACCCGCCTTTAGATCTTCGTATATCGACGAAAAATCGCGCAGATGATGGAAGAACGTACTATGAACGAAATAAACGATACTGTGCCGAATCCCTCGAGTTACGGGAAATTTCCATGAAGCAGAAGACGGGAAGAAAATACCACGACTTGTCCAGGATGAAGTGAAATCACCAAGAGCAATCAAACAACAAAGAGAATTCGGCTTGTTGTGTCCATCCCAATGAAAGTCGCTGATAGTATTGTAATTTATTGTGATCATCGGGAAAATGTCGAATATTCTCGATGCGAATGGACCCCATCTTAACTCTGTTAATTTTTGATATAGACCCTCGTAATATACTTGAAAAAATTGATTAACAGATCTCGATAATGGTACCAGCTCGTGAAGTAGATCATCAACACATTTTTGGTGCTCGGTGTTTGAATAGAGGCAGTGTTGAAGCTAGTGAAAGGAAGTAAATTATTTTTCGTATAAACTCCAAAATGTTCGATGAAGTTGGACCAAAACTCGTCGCTTCTATGTGATGGATTTTCTAGGGTATGAAAATAATACTCATCAACTGCATTCGTTGCTTGTGTACGGTGGTACGATCGTTGAGATATTCCAAATGAATTAAGGTTCGGTTATCCCGGTCCACAATACACTCTGGTTCAAGTATATAACGAAAATCAACTAGTAGCGGAAATTATCACGTGCTGATATAATAAGTTCAATATGTTAATCAGATATGTTAATGCATAATTGCAGAGATTTTTTTGATTAAATGCACCAATCATAATTTGATTAGCCTTGAGTCAGAGACTCGTGACTTGGTCACTGAAAAAAAGCATTTATTTTCTGATAGACACATTTTACAATATCGTATATAAAAAAAGTGCCAAACTTCGAGATCGTGACATCAATGTCACAGTTGGATAATTACATAGTAAAAAATCTTTTGTCGGCCAAAATAACGAATAGTTAGAAGTGTAGAAGCAGGGAGGAATAAACATGTTAATTATGCCTGCTGGGTTCCATTTCTATAATAAAAATGATTCATTTATTAGCTCGTTATTATACATAAAACCAGACGTGAAAGAAACTCCAGATAAACGTACACTCGATTAAACATTCGTTTCGAGGTTTTTGGTGTCCAAGTACCTTTTTAAATAGATTCACAAGTGGTTGTCAATGGTTGATGTACAATAACAATAACAAACTTTAAGCAGTTGACAGGAAACACACAAAATAAGTAGCTTCGTTTATCCTCAGTTAAGCCAACGAGTCCAGCGCAACGACTAAAGACTACACTCTTACGAATGTAACCCAACAATGAGGATACACTTTTCAGGATAACTCACGTCCTTAACCAACGCTGATTTAGACTTACCCCTTGAACGAAATGAATCGCTCTCAGAGTAAGACGCACCACCCACACCAATTTTTGGTGTGATTTCGTAACAATTGTGCGAGAACTTATTTTCCATGCCATGATGCCAACTGCACAAAATTATTACGCTTACGCATACTGTTACGTATCTTTTATTTTCATTCTTCGCCTTCAAATTCTGTAGATAAAATGGATAGCCATTAGCTTGTTATATGAATTTATAATGCATAAAAAAATTAAAAAAATTCTATACATACAATGTCAAACATCACATTTGCAAATCGAATAAATTTACGAACTTGAATTTTTCTCTCTTCAGCCTTGATTGTTTTCCAAAGCTTTATCACGTATTCATTTTCATCCATTACTAATTTTAGTATCTTTTTTCCATCATCTTTTTCGGTGCCTTCTAAATCTTCGAGAATATCAAGTACGAACTCTGTTATTTTCCCAAGATCCGAATCGTCAAGTCTTCTTTTTTGTGACGCATCAATATTCTCTTTATCGTCAAATACATTGTCAAATTTTCTTTTTTGTGATGGGTTGACATTCTCTTCATTATCAAGTACCACTTCCGATTTTCTTTTTTGTGAAGCCTTATCAATGCATCGTTTAATTATTTCGCTATCAATATCTTTCTTGTTAGCGAATACTTCTTCGTAATTTCCACCTAACACCAAATAAAAAATCAGTCTATACTCTTAAGTAAAATCAAATTGTTATGTTCTCATGGTCACTTACCAAGGCAAATTATAACTTCGCAAGCTAATATAGAGACGTGCTGGAGTGCATGGTCGCTCCAACGACCTTTTCCGCTAACCACGATTCCATGAGCCAATTTATTTCTCACATTCTTTTTAAAGTTAATTAGCAACTCGGCAGGATTGGCCTTATATTGGCCATGGAACACGGATTTTTTTGAGAAAATAGTAATGTTTTCCAGGATAAAATTTAACATGCATAATAGATCGGCGTTGCGGAAGTCTTTGCTAATGGGAGGCCGTTGTTTATCCGCGAATGATTCAACGACTTCTAGAGGAATAATATCTTCGTTGTTGACAAGGAATTCATAAACTGCTCTCTCAGCAAGATTAATGAAAGGCTCTATAATCGCCCCTTGTTCCTTTTCGGTAAAAGAAAATGATTGCTCAATTGATGGAGAAGAACCGCGAGCGGTTGTATTATCTTTGCGATTATTGGTGACGGTTGCATGTTGACCAACAGCAGATGAATGAAACCGCGTTTTTTTAAAAACCGCAAAAGGCTTTGACTGTTTTTGAGACGAGGAAGAAGAGGACGACGATAATTTTTTATCTTCAAGCCAGCCGAACATCGTGATGTGTGCTAGAGAACTTTGACGAAAGGTCTTATCGCTATATAAAAGGTCGCGAAGTGATTTATATATAGACTCGCGGGACTTTCTCAACGGACAGGCATCACATAGCGCGTTCAAAGTGGAGTCGAAAGTTTCTTTAAGATTCTTTTCTACGACGCCGGAACGTATCCACGCTGAAAGTGCTTTTTTACCCATAATAATAATGAGATACGACGCGTAAAATGAATTGCCTAGGACCAACTTATATGCGTGATTTGTGTTATCGATATGATCTGTATCACATGATCACCTTATCATTATGTTTGGCCTCAGTATCTTTTCCAATTACTCCCATCCCAAGCTAAGAATATCAGTCGATACAATATTACACATCTGATCTAAAGTATAATCATTCGCACCCTTAACCCTATCAAAGACATCTAAAAACTATTCCCAGATTACAGAGATGATATTTGTGAATCTTTGAATTGAATCTAAAGAATTTGATGAATGAGTGGAAGATGATGGACAAGCAGAAGATGATGAATCAGTGGAAGATGATGACACCTCACTTTGCTGGTCAGATTAAGAAAGTGTCAATGTAATCAGGTATTAATAGCATTTCCTTGATTATTAATAGCATTTTATTTTTTATTTTTAACGTTGCATTGTGTAATCAAAGATAATCATGTAAATTATTTTACAGACTAAGAATGAACAGATCGCTTAGGAGATTAATGCATTGATCCACAAATAATTATGAAATTTAAAAATAAGTTGGTATTTTTATGAACATTATGTCCAAAATATTTATTCTTAGTGAAGTTCATCATCAACATAACATTAAAATGTATTTCTAGTCTATGTGATAAAAATTAGATTACATGAAGACATGTGCTAAAAATCAATAGCAGAGCTAGCAAGGCTAATATAAAAATCTTGGATACAGATCATCTTTAACACGAATATGCTAGCTTTTCAGCTATTCTATAAATGAGGTTTTATCTTATTAATATACGCTGATTGAATAATGATGATCTGATTTTGTGTAAGTTTTACCAGTATTTAAATCATAATAATATTCTTCATCATCATTGTCAGAAAATCCATAGATCCCATCATCATCTTTAGACACATTAGCATTCTCACTCCATGAATCATCTTCACTGTTATCAAAGAGATCTTCAAAATCATATTCATAGTCGAAACCTCGATCATTATTCACCTCTTGTAAAGATTTAGATACAATAGCATCCTCACTGCATGAGACTTCTCCACTTATTTTATCAATATCAGAGGAATTGCTGGAGATAGTCACTTCGTGACTAGAGATTTGAGACATATTATTAGATGAGGTTTTAATATCTGATATATTTATCTCATTTTCTGTTGATTTCGACTCCTGATCATGAACAGTATTCACGGTTTTTGATACTATCATACTAACTTGTGCCTTCATTACTTGATCTATAATATATTGAATTTCAATATTAGTAAGTCTTGAAATAGTATTGGTACTATAAGTAACTTGTTTAATCATATGTCATCCTATTCCATTGACTTTTTCCTAAATCATAGTATCATATTCCCATCCAAATAACTTAAGAATTTTTCTTGCTTTACTTGTTATTTTACGTAAATACTTATCAGAAATTTCCGTGAGATATAACTTCATTTCATTATAAATCTGGGTTCTTGCAGTCTTATCCTTAAGATTTTTATTTTCGAATATAAGCTTTATAAATCTATCTTCATATTTTTCAGAATAGCGACTCCAAGATAAAATTTCTTCCTGCTTAGCTTTGATAGATTTTTTTCTCACTTTACTAGCCTGATATAACAAATAAGCAAGCTCAGCAGGTGCAGAATCTGAAGACTTACTATTAATGATTTCAATATTTTCTCTTTCTATAGAGTTTATCGAAAATCTTTGTAACAAACCTTGTACAACTTCACTTGGCACGTATGTACTAGTTTCAGCTGAATTTCCGATAGATTTTTGAGATATATTTTGTACAGATTCTTTTGGTGAAGTCTTTTCTTGATCATGAATAGTATTTATATCACATGATAATGGAGGTGACATCAACTCCTCTAATTCTCTTGAAGAGTCTAGTTTTTCTGAAGAGGCCTCTTGATCCCGAAACTTCTCCTTGATATTTTGAATTATATCCTTACTAACCTTTTCCTTATACTTCGAATCCAGAAATGTATCGACCTCCTTGTCTTCCAATGATTTACCCCCTGTGGGAATAGGTGATGTGGGATATTGGGATGAAGACCCCGAATTTACATCAGATTTTGAAGTATTGTCAGATATATCAGATGCTGAAGCATTATTGGGTTCATTAGAATTTGAAGCTTCATCAGTTATGTTAAATGTGGAGGTATCATCAGTCTGCAAGTTTATCTTACCGGGACTATTAACATTAGGATTCTGTTCCGAACCTTCAAAGCTGTTCTCAGTTGAAACATTTCTCGCATCAGTAACAGTTTTGGTTCTCTCAGACGATATGAACTGGATTTCTTCTGTAGGAGGTATATCCTTTTCATTAGCAATATTTTTGTTATATTTTTCTTCGGAACAGGGTATTTTAAGTCCGTTTTCCTCAATAATATATTCTAATTTTGCTATCTTGGTTCTAAGCTCTATAATTTCAGTATCTCGTTTAGCATTCCCCTTCATCGAGATTAGCATCTCTTAACTTTATATTCTTTGCATTTTCTTTTGCGGATCGTTCTAATTCTACGATTCTAGCCATAAGCAAATCTTTCTCTCTTCTAAGTTCGGGAATCTTGGCATTCTCCTTTCTAAGCTCGGCAATCTCGGCTACAAGCTTGGAATTCAATTCTCTCAACGAGGAGACAGAGTCTCGAGTTTTCAACTCATCATCTTTAGATTGCATGTTTAATGTCAGTTTATATAATTTTATTAAAAATGCTC